CTCTCTCTCCCCCCCCTCTCTCTCTCTCACACACACACACAAACAGACACACTCTCTCTCTTCCGCTGATGGCTAGTGCAGATGTTTCAAGGGTAATTATTATAAAAAGACACCAATCATATCTTTTCTTTTTCCCGGCATCAGGAAGTTGTTTATGAATACTTAAAATAGGCTCTTCACAAACCTTGATTAAATATATTCATGTTTTTTTATGGTTCAACTCTTAAGACTCTGAGCTTTGAGGGACTTCCTGGTTTTATCGCGTTATTATTGTGGATATTACGGTAGCAGTAAACATATCACAGTCTGTGGTGTATTGACCTGGTTCTTTGCGGTCGCACGCAAAAGACATCAGTTCAAATCTCATTCGGGGAAGCTGATTCGCCGAGTAAATGTATCTCTACCTGTCCACTTAGATAATGTAATCCATTTGGCTAAGGCTAATTCCAGTTGGCAAGATGGGTAGAGCCTGCTTCCTAAATGATCTAAATAAGGTCGATGGGGAGTAAACATTTGCACCGGCGTCAGTGGTGTAGCATTTTGGCGCTTCCCTGTCGCATGCCGGAGACACGAGTTCGATTCCGAAATTTGAATACATTTTAATCGAATATCTAAGACTTTCTATGGAATATTGTATCCCTCTCTACCAAGGTTGGTTCTTGCAGGCTTGGTCTGAAGCTGGCTTCCTAAATAATCTGAATTGAGTCGATCGGGGCTTGAAATACTCACCTAACTACAATCACTACGAACAACCACTATTAACACTTTTGGTACGGAAAAAGGATATTCATACACCTAATCAGACATTTTCAGACAGAAGTTCCCCAGTCTCAGCATAAGATTTTGTGTTTTCATTTTTAAATTCATTTTTATTACGCATTACGACGTGATTTTCTCTTCTTTTTGGGGGTGAATGGTGGGTGCGGGCAAATACACGACAGGAGATGATGCCAATGGACTGCGTGGTACACCAGACCCCATATTAACAAATTTGGTAAGGGAACTAAACTATGGAATTCACAGGGTTAACCAAACTTTAATTAGGATATTTTTTTCAGGCAGAAGTTCACCAACACACACACACACACACACACACACACACACACACACACACACACACACACACACGGCTTCAGTGGATTCATGCTGAAAAGGTTCCAAACTGTGTAATTTGTATGTACAATTTAGTATTTAGTTGTTGTTTAGAATAAAGCTGAAAAGTAAACCACGACCTCCGTTTGTATCCCATCCATTAGGCTCGGAAAGACAGGGTCGGAGTATCCCGCCCACTAATGATCTAAATAGCCGCTACCGCAGAATTGCAAAGTTCTGTCTGACAGTTTTGACCGTTTTGAGTTACCAAGACCATGGGGTCAGGAACCAAATGTTCTACCAGCTCTGTCAAAATCGTAATATTTTTCGGAGTCTTAATCAAGATAATTAATTATTCAAAGAATTGCTTTCAATAAAGCATGACATGTTCTGAAACTCAAAACAATTTTTTTTAAACCTCAAATTCCTCAAAACTAGGTACTGAGAAGACATAACATTGTAATTCTGAGGAAGCGTAGTGCAATGGGGCTGTAAATAATCTAACAAGAAATGACAATAACCTACTTACCAGAATTTAAAAAATGAGGTATTCGATTCCCCTTCGATAACAGTCGGCTCCTGGGAGACGAGAGGAAAAGGGAAGAAATATAATTCTACGATATAAGAATGTACATTGATATTATGTTATAAACATGAACTTTTGTCATGATTTAATAAAGCTAAATATTCTCTGTGAAGTCTTTTCTGCCCCCCCCCCCTTTTTTTTACAGACCCCTGTCCCTTTTCTTCGAAGAATGACATTAACAAAGAAATACGTTAATAAAAGAAAAGCCCAAAGATAAGCAGCATGCCAATTTTAATGTATTTTCCCATTGAAATAGAGGTTTTAAAAAAGTCATTAAAAACACTCTGGGGTGTTATCAGTCGAGTTGCAGTGAGATCAAAAGATGTAACTCTATCTTCACTTAAATTTATTTTGCTCTAAGACTGCGAAAAGATTAAAACTTTAGAACACCTACTCCCGATTAATCAATATATGTGTATATGTAT